CAATTGCCAAACTTCGATCGACCATTTATTGTGACAACTGAAGCATTAAGGTACTGCTGTGGAGCTCTGATCCCGCAGCAAGATACAGACATCAAGGACCGTCCTGTAGCCTTTTTATCAAAGAAGCTGGGTCGACACGAACTGAACTGACCAGCGCATAAGAAAGAGCTGTACGCTGTCTGTAACGGAGATGAACGTACCTTTGTAAGAATAGGCGGGTCGCACAAGATTGTGCAACCGTACATAGATGTGTACTACACATTTAGTGTAATAACACAGTGGTGTGGCCACATCGTAACAAGAAGCCACCACGTGGCAGGATTGCCTGTATAGTGCGGATTACATCTTGCTATATTCACCAGGAATGACTATATTGATTAAAAGAACCTAAAATTTTAAGTACTGGCGGCTCTGCCGCAACTAAAACAATTAAATACAGTTTCGTTTATTAGACAGAAGTGTTTGTTTGTCTTGGTTTAGGCTTTTATTCTTACCAGTAGCGGATTGTGATCCGCTACATTTGTACTGGTTCTTGGTTAGAACACAAAGTCGGTGGCCTTAACTTAGCTTCCTTTAAGCAAAGAGCTACAGCAGCCTCGCTGCACTATCAAGCTAGCATAGGGAAGATGGAGACATTATCTGCACGAAACGCATTTAGACATATATACAGACGATTCGGCATGCAAGTGGTTGACGAAGACGCCTATGTCGACGGCAAAGTTGACATGATGGTTGGACTATTTCAGTCATTCCGATTTTACATTGCACCATCAACCAGGATAACTAAATGTTGTAGCAGATGCACTATCACGATCTCCATTAAAGCAAGTTCGTTTAACCATCTGCCATATGCATGAGTGCACATAGGAATGTTTCAAACGAAAAAAAACTGCGAAATGCCACAAAGAGCGTGTTACAGCCATGCCAAGCTTGCCTTTCGAAACCGGTGATCCTGTTTTGCAATCCACTGAAATGGTATGCCAACATTCACAAGGGCTACGTCAGCATCAACTAGCGTTCGCTCATAAATTGCTTGTCTTGTAGCGACGTGTGTCACAGGTTGACACGTACAAATTCACATAATCGTCCATTTCAATAGTACCATTGTGATACACTTAGCTGTGATCGTCGAATTCCGGGATGCGCAGCAATGCTCGAATCGTAAAATTGTGATAACATTACCTTTGAGGCTTGGATTGTTCGGTACGTATGATCTTCACACCTGGTTACTTTTTTGAGAAAGTAGAAATCATTTTTAATCGTAAAAGCCCTCTCTTATGAACTTTTGGCAAACAATGTGTCTTTCGTATAGGCTTCCTTAAATCGCTCTTTTGTATCTGCGTCAATGTATGAAGTCATCGTTGAATGACTAAAAACATGACGCCGTGGCATCATTCCAGCCATTATTTTTTCACTCGATCCCTCCTCTGAAAAAAGTGTGTCAATCATGGTCTCATGACTGTTGTGGAAAAATTATCGAAGAGAGTCAAGTATATTCCAACTCAGACAACAGTCGATGCGCCACAAACTGCAAGAGAGTTTTTTTGTTCACGTAGCCAGACATCATGGACTACAGACAGTGACCATTAGTGATTGAGATTCAAAGTTTACTGAAAATTTTGGGAGAGAGTTGATGGAAGTCATGGAAATGCAGCAGTGCATGACGACATCTGGAAGAGCACAAGCAGATGAAAAAACAGAGCGTTGAAACAGAACACACGAAGACTCACTGCGTTGTCAGTCGCGCATCTTGGAAAAGTCTGGGTAGGTCATCCACCAACGATCGAATATGCTCACAACATTTTGGTGCACACTTTAACAGAATTTTCACCCTTCGAAGTGGATACAGGGAGAAAGCCGAGAAATTCCGTCGTCAACCAGCTGACCAGCTCAAACGAGTACACTTCGAATTTTGCAAAACATCGCAAGATGATAATCCTGCGCAAAAAAGTCTAGAGAGCTCAAACCAGACAGAAAGCGTACTATGACAAGAAACGATCGAACGTCACTTTCCAACATGGAGATATGGTAGCGACCAGAAATTTGTCATTTAAACATGCCCAGACAAGTGACGAAAATGAGAATTAAGTATTGCTACCGCGCTTCATTGTCCCATTCAAAATCATTTACGTCATAAATGAGAACGCCATGAAGAGTTACCAAGATAATTGTTCAAGAGCTAGCGATTACTATTAAGAACTGTGGAAGGTTTGAGAAAATTCCAGAAGGAATGATATTATTATGAAAAAGCCGTGAGCCTTCCATATGTTTTCTATATAACCGAATTAAAAGATCAAGAACACGTGGTCCAATAAGAATGCATAATATTTATATGTAGATAGTTAACAAGTACGTATCAGCAGAAAAACGATCACTTTTCCAATTAGCCACCAATTCACCCACGCGTTACACCTAGGTATAAGTTTTCGACTTAACTAGAGCTTCTGACAGCGTAACTAAGATAGGTCTTTCATTGCAGCTAAAGGAGAGTATTCTATTTCACCACGTTTCCCTTGAGTTTTTACTAATCCGCACGTTAGGGGCGTCACATGGAAGTACTAACTCAGCAATATCGTTACATCGTGACAGAGATCGATCATCCTAAACCAGTCTGACTAAGTGGCTTTACCAATCTTACGTATAAAGCAATGACAGTAATTTTCTTTACTAGATCGTACACAGGTGACTATATACACAACCGCCTTTATCCGTCTACCAAGAAATAATCCAAGATCAATGTCACTAATGACTTTCATGTCTCGCTCAGAATACTTAGCAGCTTTAGACCTTATCAATTAGGAACTACCATATCATTCACTGAAGCTGTCGTTATTTCATGCCCATCATCCAAGGAGGTGAGTCATGACTCATCAGAGCACATACTTAGGCCGAGATCTTAACTCTAATTCGGGCTAAAGACCAAGCAGTATTACAAAATAAACTTCGCAGAAAATGTCAAAAGAGTCTTCAATATCTCGTCCGTTGCCCCGCCGCAAATTGCACGGATATCGTGTTCGTAATTGGCAATTTTAATGCTGTTTATTGCTTTCGACAGCATTGGGTAGACATAATTGCACGAACGGACATAGCTTTACAGAACCAGCGGTTTGACGCTTACAGCCAACAACACTAAGCATTAAGCCTCAAGTCTCCTAGACATTGTTGTTCGCCTTCGTACTTGATACAATTAATTTGAAACTCATCGAGGTACCGTAAAACACAGTTCTTTCACAAAAGATGCAGAGCTGCCTACTAGCTATAGCTCATTAAACAACTCAGCGTTGGAGCCTCGTCTCAGCCAAAAAGAATGAGGCACGCAGAGCGCGAAGTTGTGAGATGCAACATTTGCGAGCATGTGATGCTATCAGGTAGTGAAAACATGCTCTGTTTTTTTTCTCTTGGCTGGTAGAGCCTCCACGACTCTCGCAAAATAGATGTAGTGATCAACACTTGATGAAGCTTCTACCGCTTCATTCAAAGAGTAAGGTGGACGCTGGTTTCAGTGCGGGTCGTACCTTTGTAAGGATCATCTAAATAAATTGTACTTGCAACATTCCCACATAAACTATTCTGCTACTTCGGCTGTTTGCACGACCAATGCGTGCCGCCCTTGACGGAGGGGCAGGAATCTCGATCGCATACGATACGGTGCGTCCATCCGCGACAGCTGTCTTGTGAACCCCCTTCCGCGTTAAAACTTTTTTTCTTAGAGATATTCTATGATAGTGATCATTTTTTCACGCGTTCGTTGAATCGGACAGTGCTAACGCGACGAGCTGATCTTCCGAATAGAGCTTGATATAAATCATGGCTAGAATCAGACTCTCTATCCCAAGGGGTGATATTACCGTCCCAGTTTTTTCATAGCCTAGAATTTTAGCTGAATCGGTGTCAGTGCAAGTACTGGCTGTGATTCTACCAACGCCAAATTGACACTTTTCTAAAGCTATTTCGCCAGCGCGTTTCCGTATGTGGTGAAGGCTTTTAGACAAGTGGTAACCACTTATAGACCTTGTACAGCAATCACGCTATCCCTCGAGAGTTACTTAACAGAAAAGCAAAATATTTGTGTTTCGTAATTCGAGGACAAATATCATGTTCCGAGCCCAAAAAAGATACTGGTTTGTTAAAACTCAGTCATCGGTTTACGACGAGTGCCATGAAGTGCATAGATTGCCGCACGCCTATAACAGACGGAGCTTTGGCTCTCAAAATCAGTAGTAATTATCGAACAGAAAATTGGTTAGCAGCCCTTGGGATGCCAAATGTAGAGCCTTTCTAGGACCTTGTATTTAACTTGCTCTGATCAAAATGTTTATAATTGAGCTAAAAATGATAATGAATACAATTATGTAGGAAGCAAGCATTTCACGTGTCTGATGACCTCTTCTCATTGGATAATCAAAGTATCATATCTAATTTTTTCCTTTTAGGGTATGTGTTCCGTTTCAATCAAAAGCTGCAATATTAAACTGATCCTTTCCAATTACAATGACTATGGTAGTGGTACCTTCGGCTCCATTGGTATTTGATACACGTGATGTAGCTCGTCTATTCATCGCCTTGAGTCTTTTTCGACAGCCATAGGTGATAGGTTGAAGTGGGTGGCAATTTCAGATCAAGAAAAAAAGTGGGTCCCGAAATAGATGAACGTACAAGTTAAACTTTAGGCACTATTCTCGCTCAGATTTATAATAAAGCTTGGAAGCATGACCCTGCATGGGTCGGTGGGTCATGGGTAACCCACGGAATGGGTCGACTCACCACTCCAAAACGGCCTGTGGGTAACCCACGACCCAACCCATGGGTAACTTAAACTTACCCACCGACCCACTGACCCTTCAAATTCTGAAAAGTCATTCTAATTCAACGCCACTACTTGATGTTTTTCACGGCACGTTTAATCTACCCGTCAGCACTGGGACGACGAATTACCTGCAAGTCAACCTCGCTTGATCAATCAAGGAGGGATTGCAGTTTTCGCGACATTGCGATGGAGTTTAGGTAATGACTTTGAACAGCACAAATGTATATTGATCTGCGTATTCGGGTTCGGTGTCTGACTCTTCAATCTCACCAAAGTACTTCTCGAGAAGGTCCGGATTGTCACGAAGAACGATGTTGCCTTCCAAGGAGTCACTGAAAAACGCGGAGCGCAGCACGGACTTGATGAAGCTCGCATTGCAAAAGCTGCGCTCGCATTCTGCGCTGCTTGCCGGGATAGCCAGAACAAACGAGGAAAGCTTTACGAGCAGTGGGAACTTGCTTGCTTTGAAGTTCCAGTAGCCGAGTATGTCAAAGTACACGTAAGCGTCCTTTGTCCTCATTGCTCGGAAACTGACAGCTTTCCAGAATTTCTTTGGTCGACAGCTTCTCTCCCAAATAGCATCACAGCTCCTTTTCGAGCATGGCTTGCGTAGATTCGGCGGCGGGTCGATCTGCCGTACCATCACCATCTCTCGTGCTTGTCGGTGGTGCAAACGTTATGAAAGATGGCAGTCGCACACCTTCCATGGCCAGCCCGGTCTCCGTCTCTTGGTGCAGCAGATAGGGAAATGTCGCAGCCATATTCCCCATGTGAGCCAGTGTCGCTGCACGTACGCCATCGTGATCGGCTGCCACCACCTTGGAAAGCGGATGCAAAAGGTACGCAACCTCATGAATGACATCGGGGACACACTTGTTCGATATGTTTGCTTTCACAAAAACAGCAATCACCGCGCGCACATTGTGCTTCATTGCCGCAGGTGCAAACTTAATATCATTAAGCATTTGGGGCAGTTGGGACTTAAAGTAGGTGACAAGATGCAGAGTCGGGCGGTCACGACTCTGCAACAAGTT